AAAACAACTTTTGTGATTTGTTCTCTTCAACATTTATTTAACTGACAAAAGTTTAAAGAAAAGATCTCCATTGTTTTCACTGACCAGCTTAAATGAATTTGGTAAATATAATTTTTTTTTTAGTTTGATGGCTGCAACACACTCCAAAAAAGTTGGAACAGATGCATGTTATTCTCTTCTTCATAATGCCCCATATACATTTTCAAAGACAGATCTGGACAGCAGGCAGGCAAGTCAAGCAGATCCACTCTGTGTCTATGAAACCACGCTGTTGTTACACATGCACATTGAGGCCTGGCATTTTTAAGTCTAATAACCATGGATTTAACCAAGATGCCAGCATCTCTGTGCAATCCCAATATATGCCTCAGCCTCAATGGTACCTTCATATGATGACTTGCATATGAAGGTACCATTGAGGCTGAGGCATATATTGGGATTGTGGGCACTAATGTACCCCCATACGATGACAGATGTTGGGCTTTTGGACTCATTGCTGATAGAAGTTTAGATGGTCTCTCTTGTTTTTGGCTAGGTGAACACAATGTCTGTTTTTCCCCAAAACAAGCTGAAATGTGGACTCATCTGACCACAGCACACATCTCATTCAGACCATCTGATAAAAGCTCAGGCCCAAAGAACTCGACAGCATCTCTGTATAGAATTGATGTATGCATGACTTTCTTGCAAAACAGAGATTCAAGATGCATTTCTTGTTTGCAACTATATTAAAGGTGCTGTATGTAGGATTGACACCGAGTGGTTGAACTAGTTATTGCAGTCAAAATTCAAAATATTGGAGAGGGTTTTTTTCACCCAGCCCCGCCTCCTTAGACTTGATGCACACGCAGGTTGCCAGACTGATGACACCAACAGGAACGAGCGCACTTGACGATGAATGAAATGAAATACGCTCTGTTTTCCGCCAACTGGCAACCCGGGGTGACGAAATACAACTGGGTAAACTGGCAGTGGGCGGGTCTCACAAACCAAAACAGAGACTGACATTCTCAGCATTTATTTTATTTGATGTTATTCAATATGTAATATATACATTATTAACCCAATTATTTTTTTCACCATTTTTCTCTGCATTGTTTACAGCTCGATGACTTGTAGGACCTCATGAAAAAGAATACAAAAATAACGTTTGGTGTGATAATATGACTCCGAGCACTATAATTTATTGTATGTAAATATAGAGTTTATGTTCATCCCCTAGCTCAATACTAAAGAATGTGATAAATCCTTAATAATTAAGAAAACAATAAATGACTATGAAAATATTTAAGTAACTGAACAATTTCTATTTACAAATACAATTAATAAAAATAAACCAGACTTAATGCATTAAATCATAACCTAGTATGTGTAATATTTTATATAATAATGCATTCAGACATAGCGTAATATTTTATAGTAGAAAAATAGTGTAAGTTGCAATCTATCAGCAATTGAATTCAGGTTAGGTAATCTTATCTAATCAGGTTAGATAATCTTCTAAACAGCAGGTGGCACTGTCTGAAAAAACGATAGTTCTGGGAGAGCTGGTCTGAGCATGCAGGTCTGAGTGTGCAGGTCTGAGTGTGCAGTTGGGCCTACGGGCCTGCAGATAATCTTCCAAACAGCAGGTGGCACTGTCTGAAAAAAACGATAGGTCTGAGCGTGCAGGTCTGAGTGTGCAGTTGGGCCTCCGGGCCTGCAGCTTCACCCTACTCAAATTCTTTGCAATCTTGCATTAAGAAATTTTTGAATGGTTTGAAAATTCCCTCATTAATTTGGCACAACACGGTAAGCTACGACCTATCTTTGCTTGCAAAGACTGACACTTTGGTGAATGCTTTTGTTTTTTTATTTAATCATGATCTAACCCAGTCTTCAACTGTTCTCCTGGGGACCCACTGTCCTGTAAATTTTATTTCCTGCTTTCAGCACACCTGGCCTCTGACTTTTCAAGTGATCCTTAAGACCTTGTTTGTGTTCAGGTGTGTTTGATTAGGGTTGGAGCTGAACTCTGCAGGAAAGTGGGTCCCCAGGAGCAGGGTTGAAGACCTATGCCCTAACCCAGTGTTTCTCAACCCTGGTCCTGAGCTCCTCCCAACACTGCACATTTTGTATGTCTCCCTTATCTGACACACCCATTTCAGGTCCTAGTGTTTCTTTTTTAATGAGCTAATGAGTTGAATCAGGTGTGTTTGATTAGGGAGGCACACAAAATGTGAGAGAGAGCGAGCGCAAATCCTGGAAGCGGCAGGTCGCAGTGCCACTTCCGGTGGCATCCCCAGCTGCCACTGGCAGCTGCCAGAGTTCGTGGCAGCTGCCACGGTTTTTCTCGCCGTTTCTGCTGTTTGCTCGGTAAAAACTACACTGTTCTCAGTGGCGTGCAGTGATGTTTTTTTTAAATGATGATGCAAAGTTCCCACAGTTTTATTATTATTATTATACTGTACATTTTTATGTATCAGTTGCCATACACACACACACACACATATATATATATATGGTCACACTTTAGTTTTGGGTCCAATTCTCACTATTAACTTAACTATTGACTTTTGCCTAAATAAACTATTAATTACTGTTCAGGTATTTGGTAAGATGTAGAATACGGTCATACATAATATTGCACTAGTATGTGATTTATGAGTACTAATAAACGGCTAATATAGTAATATGCAAGCAACTAGTTAATAACTAAAGTGTTACATTAAATAAATAAATAAATGTTTTGTCACAGTGTCTGGTTGTGGTGCCCTGGACTGGCCACTTGAGGGCGCTCTCCCGTTTCTGTGTTACATGTGTTGAACTCCATTTCCCATAGTCCCTTGCCTGTCGTGTCTGTTCTGATCATGATCACCTGTTAGTCATTTACTCATCATCCCATCACTACATATACCATGCTCACTCTGTCTGTCTTTGCTGCAGTATTATTTGATTCTGATGTTTGTGTTTGATGTTGTTAAGGTTACATCGTGTTATCTGTTCCCTGTGTTTTGGATTACCTTTTGCCACGTTTCTGTTCTGTTTATTTTATACTTCAATAAACTGCACTTGGATCTATCCTGTTTTCTCCTGGCATTCCGTGACATGTTCGTGTTTGTGCGTATATACAGTATTGGCTAGCGGCAGCAGCAGTTTTAACATTAAGTGACATGACATCTGGCACTCCTTATGTGTGTGTATGTTCTTTATGGGAAAATGCTTATGCAATTTAGCTTATTGGGTTCACATTCTGATCGTATCTGCTTGCTGGTATATAATACGCATCATCAAATATTTTATTTACAAACAAAACTGTGTAGTTTACAGCAGAAACGGCGACAAACGATTGTGACTCCTGGCAAGAACTCTGGCAGCTGATACATAAAAATGTATAATAATAATAATAATAATAATACAATTGTGGGAACTTTGCATCATCATTTTAAAAAACACCACCGCACGC